AGGAAGCCCCTGCCCCGGGCTTCCTGGAATCAGCCGCTGATCAGTTTGAGCAGCAGCTGACTTGGGGATGCCTGGGGTTCTTAAGTTGAATCTGTATGTAAGTCAGAACTGGCATCCAGATTCAGCTGCTGTTGAAACTGATCAGTTTCAGCAGCGGCTGAATCTGGACGCCAGTTCCAACTTACATACAGATTCAACTTAAGAACAAACCTACAGTCCCTATCTTGTACGTAACCCGGGGACTGCCTGTAGTAACAAATTTATGTATATGTTATCAATATAGGCTGTGGTTACAGAAATCCAACTTCCTTCCCTAGGGCCATGTGCTATTCGATCGAAGAAAACAGCATGGAGGGAGCAGAGCTGCACATAAACATAGACAAGAAAATATTGCAAGAATTAGTATCCTGTTATGCCAGCTGATATGGATGCAACTCTTACTTCTGGACTGTAAAGAGAATATGGACAAAGATCCTCTTGTAGAAGAAACTGAGGATACCTATCTGAAGGAGGGGCCCCATGTTATTAAGAAAAGGCAAGTAATAATAATGGGGGATTTGTTTATTAGAAATATAGATAGTTGGATATGTGATGACTGGAAGAACTGTGTGGCAGATTGTCTGCCAGGTGCAAAGGTTGCAGATCTCTCAAGACATTAAGACTTACTTATATGCAATACTGGGGAGCAGATAGTGATTGTGGTACATTAGGCGCCAATGACATAGAGCATGGTGGGGAAAAGTAATGGAGGGGATCCTGAAGGAATCTATTTTGAAGCACTTGAAGAGGGGAAAGTGATCAGGAATAGTTAGAATGGATTCACCAAGGGAAAGTCATGCCTGACCAACCTGATTAGCTTCTATGATGAGGTAACTGGCTCTGTGGACATGGGAAAGTCAGAGTTTAGCAAAGCTTTTGATACAGTCTCCCTCAATATTCTTGCCAGCAAGTTAAGGGAGTATGGATTGGATAAATGGACTGTAAGATGAACAGAAAGCTGGCTAGACTGTTGGGCCCAATGGGTAGTGATCAATGGATCAATGTCAGGTTGGCGGTCAGTTTCTAGCGGAGTGCCCCAAAGATCGGTTCTAGGGCCAGTTTTGTTCAACATCTTTATTAATGACCTGGATGGGGATGGATGGCGCTCTCAGTAGGTTTGCGGATGACACTAAGCTAGAGGAGAGGTAGATATGCTGGAGGGCAGGGATAGGGTCCAGAGGGACCTGGACAGATTAGAGGATTGGGCCAAAAGAAATCTGATGAGGTTCAACAGGGACAAGTGTAGAGTCCTGAACTTGAGATGGAAGAATCCCAAGCATTGTTAGAGGCTGGGGACCAACTGGCTAAGTAGCAGTTCTGCAGAAAAGGACCTCGGGATTACAGTGGATGAGAAGCTGGATATGAGTCAACAATGTGCCGTTGTAGCCAAGAAGGCTAATGGCATATTAGGTTGCATTAGGAGGAGCATTACCAGCAGATCTAGAGACGTGATTATTCCCCTTTATTCGGCTCTGGTGAGGCCACATCTGGAGTATTGCATCCAGTTCTGGGCCCCCCATTATAGAAAGGATGCAGACACATTGGAGAGTGTCCAGCAGAGGGGGACCAAAATGATTAGGGGGCTGGAGCGCATGACCTAAGAGGAGAGGCTGAGAGATTTGGGTTTGTTTAGTCTGAAGAAGATAGGAGTGAGGGGGGATTTGATAGCAGCCTTCAACTTCCTGAAGGGAGGTTCCAAAGAGGATGCAGAAAGGCTGTTCACAGTAGTGAGAGATGGCAGAATAAGGAGCAATGGGCTCAAGCTACAGTGGGGGAGGTCTAGGTTAGATATTAGGAAAAACTATTTCACTAGGAGGGTGGTGAAGCACTGGAATGGGTTACCTAGGGAGGTGGTGGAATCTCCATCCCTAGAGGTTTTTAAGTCTTGGCTTGACAAAGCCCTAGCTGGGTTGATTTAGTTGGAATTGGTCCTGCTTTGGGCAGAGGGCTGGACTTGATGACCATCTGAAGTCTCTTCCAGCTCTATAATTCTATGATACTAGAGGCCAAATTTAGACTGCAAGATAAGGGATTAAAATCCAGGACCTCTCTTGGTAGCATTATGTAAAATGCTTTCAGTTCCCCAAAAACAAAAGGAAAAACTATGTAGCGCTTTAAAGACTAACGAGATGGTTTAATAGGTGATGAGCTTTCGTGGGCCAGATCCACTTCCTCAGATCATATTCTGGAAGAGATTTCAGTTTATTAGGAACTAAGGAACCTTTTAGGAAAGGAGGTCTCTATACAGGAAGGATGCACTCCACCTAAGCCAAAATGGAACCAGATTGCTGACATGTAAAATGTAAAAGGTCACAGAAAGGTTTTAGAGCCAGGACTGGTATTAAATGAGGATATTGATATAACAAGCATTACAGGAAGTTGATGGAACAATGATTCTCAATAGGACTCAGAAAGAGCAGGATACAAAATATACAGGAATAACTGAATAGGTTGCACTGGTGTGGGAGTGGCACTATATGTGAAAGAAAATACAGAGTGAAATATAGTAAAAATGTTAAATCAAATAGTACCATAGAATCTCTATGAATAGAAATTCCATGCTTCCATAATAAGAGTATAGCAGTAGGAATATACTACTGGCTACCTGATGAGGGTAGTGACTGCGAAAATGTCAGGGAAATTAGGCTAAACAGAAAACCCAATAAAAATGGGAGATTTCAATTGTCCCCATATTGACTGAGTAAATGTAAGCCCGAGGGGAGGAGAAGGGAGATGCAGAGATAAAATGTCTAGACACCAGTTATGACTGCTTCTTTACTCATGGTTCCAACTTCTCACCAAACTGTATTATAGCACTGTTTGTTAAGGTCAAATGGAGCAGAATTCTGCTTTTGATTGCACTGCTGTAAAATCAGAGCAGCTTCCTTTTCTGAGAGCAAAATTTGGCCTATTGCTAAAAATTCATTTCTGCAACACAAATATGAAGCTGATGTACTCTGGGTTTTAGAAAACAATTTTCACATCCTGCTTTGTGAACATTCCTCTTGCAGTAATTTGTGGTGGCTTTTTGAACAGAGCTGAAGTAGCTCTTCTGGGGCCAGTGTCATTAGCAGCTGGGTTTGACCCTTCTACAATAACTATGCCATTATTTCTTCAATATGCTAGATGCCTGCAGATACTTTGTGTTCCAGCTTTACTGGAACATATCTAGACAGGGACTCAGACCTCTGGGGAATTGTGAACCTATCTGTTTCTTTCTATAGTAAGTTACAAGAATCCTCCATTTCACACTGTAACAAAGCGGAGTACATCTATGTGAGAAGGCTTAGAGCAGCAGAACCTAGAAATAGGACATATTTCTAACAATAAAGAGCTATTTGTGATTATTAATATTTATAATAAAGCTAGAAAGGAAGAAAGAATATAAAAATAATGGGAGATAAATAAGATAGGAAAATATCCTTTTTATAGGATTTGCTGGTTTTGAATCTTCTGTTTTCCCAACAGGTGTGAACCTACTAGCATTCATCATAAAGGTGTTTTCATATGTCAGTATGTTTTGCTCTCTTCAAAAACATTCTCTTGAAACATCAGAAATAAGAAGCAACATTCACATGGATGTTGCTGTTGCCAATCAATTTTTTATAGAATTCACTGACTCTGGTGGATTCATGTATTTGTTATAAAAATCCAGAAATTCCAGGTAAATCCAGCTTGCTGTTTCAGTACGTGATCTTTCTTATTTCTTCTTTGATTAAAGTTTCAAATATTTATATTGATCTGAACCCTGCGGTGCTTGCGCAGCGCTCCTTCAGGCAAACTCTCATTGATTTTGGGGGAAGTTTTGTCTGAAGAATGACATAGGGGTTATACTCTCAAGCTTTAAATATTTGCCAAAACATTTGACTTCATTGTGTTCAGAATTTAGATTCAAACTCAGGCATCCTCCTCTCGAAATTCACTTAAGGACCCTCCCCTGATTTAAACAGAGATAAAGCTCTTGTACTTTGATGGCTACAAAATCTCACAATACATAAAATAAGTCCAGTTGTTTTCTTCCTTTAGAAAATATAAATATGCCAAGAGTCTTTTTTCAGTCAATCTGATCTCTAAGGAGGAAACACTGACCGATCCCTAAGCTTTCAATTTTTGGGGGCAGAGTAATTAAGTTAATTTACAAATGATGGTGTCTCTGCAAGAACATGGGAATTGGAACTACCAGAATTAGTTATGTTAATTTTTTTGAGTTTTATTTTGAAATGTCTTCACCATCTTTGTATTCATCTTCCTGTAAGATAAATGACAGCTGTAACTTTTATCATTTCAGTTTCATGTAAAGGCTTCAGTGCTAGCACACTGTGTTGAGACAGAAAATAATGAGGCATTTTCATTATTCATCCCACTCCCCATGAAGCCATAATTCCTGATGGAATGACAGAGACTAAATTAGCTTGTCCTTATAGACACTAAGTGTGTGTATGTGCGGGGAGGGGGAGAGGGGGAAGCAGTGAATTCGGCTAGGTATTAAACTTTACGCCCTGAAATTTTTGGACAGTATTATAAGGTGTGAGGTCATGCAGTAATCCTATTGTCATCTGGAAAACTGGAAGCAGAACTAGTCCAAAGTGGCAGTGCAGCTGTGACTTTTCACTGACTCTGTAGGTCAAGATGAGGTACAATTCAGAAGGTAATGAGAGGCTGGAACCTGAATTTAAAAAGGCAGCCACTACAATTAGCCAATAACAACCTTAGGCTAGCTGAAACAAAAAACAGGACTATGTAGCACTTTAAAGACTAACAAGATGGTTTATTAGGTGATGAGCTTTCGTGGGCCAGACCCATTTCCTCAGATCAAATAGTGGAAGAAAATTGGCATGACCAAATCCTTTGGAATATGTGGTCATGCCAATTTTCTTCCACTATTTGATCTGAGGAAATGGGTCTGGCCCACGAAAGCTCATCACCTAATAAACCATCTTGTTAGTCTTTAAAGTGCTACATAGTCCTGTTTTTTGTTTCAACTACACCAGACTAACACGGCTACATTTCTATCACTACCTAAGGCTAGGTTTGCCATTGGCTACTTCCAAAGGTAACACCAGATGACAGTATGTCCTTTCAAGTTTCTACTTCAGAGCACTCCCCCAGAAATACTGCAAAAGCCATTTGTGTTAGTACAGTATTGCTCTGAAACAGAGCCTAGCAGGCAAAAATCTAGTGTCACTGCTCATATAGCTAGCACCTCTTGTCTCAAGTTACTGTAAATGTCAACTAACCCAGAAGCTACCTTTTTTTAAAATTTGGCAAGTGGTGTCCATGTTTTCACTCTAATCTTTAAAGCATTTCTAAAGTGTTTTTTGGCAATTATACTGCAGGTTAAACGTCTCTAGTCCAGTACCCTCGGGACCTGACCGCTGCCGAACCAGAATTTGCTGAACCACGGGAGGTCAAATATTGTCTAGTGGCATTACCAGCACTTCCACTGCTTGTTGGGCTCTTAGGAGACATTTAGGGGTAAATTTGAGCTAAATAACAGCACAGAACGCTGAAAGCCAGGACTGGTAGATGTAAACAAAATTTACGGGACATGGGAAACTTGGCCATGATAAGTGATCATCCTCCTAACTAAAATAATGCTGGACTACAGAAGTTGCTGGACCAGAGAGAGAGTACTGGACTAGAGAGGTTCAACTTGCAGTAATTCCCAATTATTGTCTCTTTAATATTGAATTGATACTGATGAAGGAGGCTCCAAAAATACTTCGCCTCAGTGAGGTTGCACAGTATGTTGCATGGTGTGGGTCTGGCCTCCTCTTCTCACCCTGGGTCAGATAGACTGCTGGGCAGAGTGTCAGCACACTTCCCACATGCCACATATATTCTACTTAAGTCCTGTGTTACTTAAGTAACATGAGATTTGGGTTTGCTCTCTATGCAGTGATGAATTTCTTTTAGCAGATAAATTAGAGTAAATTGCACAGGACATGAGAGCGTTGTTTTTAATTATTTTAATAAAGCAGGATCTAAAAGTAAAATGAAACTTATTTTGTAAGCCATAGAATAAGGATTAAACAAGAATAAAATGAAAAAGTTATCCTCGAAAGCAGTAAGTTCAGTTCTCAGCCCACTAGGTCATACTGGTTTAAGCCATCCAGGCAGATAGGGCAGTGGCTAAGAATGGAAGCACATTTATGGAATTCAAAGCACCCGTCAGAACAAAATAATTTTAAAAAGCATTGTTATGTGTGTCCATTTCTTCATTTCATTTTGATTAGTGATGTCATAAATTTAGCTATGTTACATTAGCCATATTACTTATTTAGGTGTTCTCTGCTTACTGTGTAAAAATGAGTAAAAGGTTTAAAATGCTAGTTTATAAAATACTCTGAAACTTAAATAAAGAAAAAAAATGGAGAAAATCATCCAAGAAGGGAGTACAGAAAATTATCTTCTGGCCATTTCCCTTTGCTCTTCCTTGTTATTCTGCCTGGTCAATCATTACAAATCTTTTCTCAACAGCACTTTCCAATATTGTTGCTACCAGCTAGTTTAGACACTTCTCAGCTGGAAAGAGACTCCTCCTTGCATGTTGTGAAGGGGTTTAAATGATTTTCAGCAGTGTCAATGTAGTCTGACTCAGAAAATTATCTTCTGGCCATTTCCCTTTGCTCTTCCTTGTTATTCTGCCTGGTCAATCATTACAAATCTTTTCTCAACAGCACTTTCCAATATTGTTGCTACCAGCTAGTTTAGACACTTCTCAGCTGGAAAGAGACTCCTCCTTGCATGTTGTGAAGGGGTTTAAATGATTTTCAGCAGTGTCAATGTAGTCTGACTGCATTTTCTGCCCACACTTCTGAGCTGTATTCACAGACTATGCTGTTTATAAGAAATGAAGCTCCCTGGGCAATTTTTTAAAACATGAAGTTTGGGTAGCTCTAGCACACAAAAATCTGTCTCCTTATCTGTACTATCCCAGTTCTGTTCCCTTTTTAACTATTATTTAGAATCTATTTGTATTATCAGAGCACCACGGAGCCCTAGTCATAAAACAAGACCTCACTCTGTGAGGGGCCATACAACACAGAACAAAAAGATGGCTCCTGCCTTCAGGCTAAGGATAAGAAAAAGAGCCAACAGCAGGATACAGGCAGACAGATGGAGGAGTTTAAGAAAACAATGAGGCAATATTGACTGACATGATAGTCTGTGGTCTCTTTGCTATCTGGGGTTTTCAGAAGCCACATGGGGCAATTTAACTATTTCACTTCAGGCAATGTTAAGTATAAATCAATAGGAGCACTGCAATACTGTCTGATCAAGGATTAAGTGCAAATAAGCATGCTCTTAAGAGTCTTTGGTGAGAGACCTTATCAAAGGCTTTCTGAAAATCTAAATAATATCCACTAGATCCACCTTGTCCATATGTTTTTTGACTCCCTTTCAAAGAACTCTAGTAGATTGGTGAGACATGATTTCCTATACCAAAAAACATGCTAACTCTTCCTCAACAAATGTGTCTATGTGTCTAGCAACTGTTTTCTTTATTATAGTTTCAACCATTTTGCCTGGTACTGAAGTCAGATTTACTGTCCTGTAATTGTCAGGATCAACTCTGGAACTCTTTTTAAAAATTGGTGTCACATTAGCTATTCTCCAGTCATTTGGTACAGAAGCTGATTTACATGTAGGCTACAGACTACAGTTATTAGTTCTTCAATTTCACATTTGAGTTCCATCTGAACACTTGGATGAATGCCATCTGCTCAGGTGCTTTATTACTGTTTAGTTTATGAATTTGTTCCAAAACCTCTTCTAATAGCACCTCAATCTGGGAAAGTTCCTCAGATTTGTCACCTAAAAAGAATGGCTCAGGTTTGGAAATCTCCCTCATATCCTCAGCCATGAAGACTAATGCAAATAATTCATTTGGTTTCTGCACAATGTCCTTATCATCCTTGAGCATCTTGATTGTCCAGTAGCTCCACTGGTTGTTTAGCAGACTTTCCTTTTCTGACACACTTGATTTTTTTCTGCTATTACTTTTTGTGACTTTGGCTAGATGTTCTTCAAATTATTTTTTTTCAACCTTCCTGATTATATGGACATCAGATAATAGGAAGTCCATGTGAAAAGGTGGGTGTCAGGGGGTGACTAGTGATGCTGAACAGGAATTCAACAGGAGAGAAAGGGTATGTCTAGACTGCATCCCTCTGTTGGCAGAGGGGTGCAGATTAGGCAGGTCGACATTGCAAATGAGGCAGGGATTTAAATATCCCATGCCTAATTTGCATAAAAATGGCTACCATGTTTTGCCAACTCAGCACTTTGTTGGCAAAAAGCGGCAGTCTAAAGGGGGATCTGTCGAGAAAGAAAGCCTTTTTCGACAGATCCTATAAACCTCCTTGCAAGATGCATAAGGGATCGGTTGAAAAAGGCTTTCTTTCTCGACAGGTCTCCCTCTAGACTGCCGCTTTTTGCCAACAAAGTGCTGATTTGGCAAAACGCGGTGGCCATTTTTATACAAACCAGGCACCGGATATTTAAATCCCTGCCTCATTTGCAATGTCGACTTGCCTAATCTTCATCCCTCTGCTGACAGACGGATACAGTCTAGACATATCCAGAGAGAGGGATGCAGAGAAGATAGAGATACAATAAAATTACGTGACTGGCCCTTTCAGAA